GTCAGCCTTCCTGCTCCTCTGATGCTGCTTGGCCTGCTGTGTTCATCCAGCTCTACACCTTATTATCTTGGATACATGTATTGTTCTTTCATTGTTATTGGATCAGATCACTGAATTATTTATCTGACAGCATTGTGGGATGAGCAGTTCAAAGAGAAGACCCATCACCTCTTATTAAGGTACTTAGAAATCAGAAAATAGGTTTTTGCCAGTGTTGCTACTTTGCAGAGCCTTTAATAATTCAGTCTGATTTAAACACTTCCAGAACTCCTGTTTGCCAACTTACATAATCCTCATTAGGGGATCTATCAAAATGGCCCCTGATTAAGAAGAATAATACAACTTGTCATACCATGTGATGATAGATTTTGGTTGAGTCAGAATAGAATGCAATGTCACTGGTAAATTCCAGAAATAATACTCTATAAACCTTCATAGGAATTGTCAGCTGTTTAAAAGGGCAAGTGCTCTAATTGACACTGATCCCATAATAACATATACTGAAAAACTAATCCAACCAGGTCCATGCGGGCTATAATTCTCCAGACAAACCTTCTTGCATCTTTCTTCATCTAACTCTGTTGAGAGATCCTTTTATTTCTTTTTCTTCACATTTAATTGGAAAGTAAATGCATCTCTTGTTACTACTACAACTTGGGGTATCATGTTTCACACCCTAAAAAATTACTGATAAATGATTTTCTCCTGACTTCCCTTTTAGATTCATAAGAATAGGATAGTCATTGTGTTCCTTAGTTCTGATCTTCCCCCACAAGTGAAGGTATAATCTCTAGATTTACTCTATCGAACCCATTCGTAGTTTTAAACTCCTCTATCAAATAGAGATTGAACCCTTATGGGAATAGCCAGTATGGAACAACTGCAGACCCACAGCTAAAGGAGGACTGTAAGTTGGAACTTTTAACTTTATTTCTTATTTACTACTTTTTACTGAGAACTGTAATGTTGCACTTTTAACTTATTGCTTTTCGTACTTTCTACCTAAGATTCTGTACATAAGTGCCTAAGGTGGTGCCATTGTAAACATCACTGTATTCCTGAACTTGAATATACATGACAATAAAACCGAATTCTAATTATCCCTGTATCTTTCTTCTACATAAGAGCACTAGACCCTTCACTATTTCCTGATAGATATATAACCTCTCAACTTTGGTTGTATTCAAGTAAATATATTTCACACCTGCTGCAGTGTCTCTACACTTTTTGTAAAACGTACACCAGACTCGTTTACAGTATGCTGAAGTATGGTCTAACAAAAGTTCTATAGAAGATTCTGCTTTTTATTTCTAACTTTCTAGAAGTGATTTGATTTTGACTTCATTATTTGCTTTTTTAAAAACTACCCATTGGTGTGGCTGTTAAATGACTTGTGTATTAGTATTCTTCAGATTCCTCTACTCCTTTACCCATCTTGGACTACTTTCTGAAGAGTATGTGGTCTCTTTATATTTTTCCAATTACACACACATTCTCTAAGTCTACATTTTGTTACAGTGTCATCTTTATTAGCATGGCTGTAAGATTTGGTGTCACTTACAAATTTTAAATTCAAAAGATCCTTACAATGTAGATGCAAGCTATTTTGCCTATCCACACCAACTGTCTGAAAAGCCTCCTTGCCCTGTAGCCCTGCATTTCCCAAGGTTAATCCACTTAGGCTGCACATCCCTGGACACTATGGCCAATCCATCTAACCTGCATATCTTTGGACTGTGGGAAGAAACTGGAGCACCAGGGGTGACCTTATTGAGATATATAAAATCATGAGGGGCATAAATAGGATGAATGCATATAGTCTTTTTCCCAGGGATGGGGAATTGAAAACCAGAGGGCATAGGTTTAAGAAGGGCCTGAGGGACAACTCCTTCACACAGTGGTGCATACATGCAACTGGGCTGCCAGACACTGGTACAATGCAACATTAAAAAAAAACTGGATGGGTACATGGATAGGAAGGGTTTAGAGTGATTATAGACCAAATGCAGGCAATTGGAACCGGCTGAGCGGGCACTGTGGTCAGCATGGACCAGTTTGGGCTGAAAGGTCTGTTTCAGTGCTGTATTACTGTATGACTCTCTCTGACCTGGAGGAAACCCACACAGTCCCCAAAAACTGGAATTGAACCTGAATCCCTGCTGCTGAGGCATCAGTGCTAACCACTGAGGCACCATGCCGCCCAAATTGTGCTCAGGATTCACGAGACTAAATTAATAATGGAAGTGGAGAGCAAACTAGTTCCAGCAATGACCCTTGTGCCTTTCCACTTTCAATCTTCTGAGTGACTATCGTTAACTACAGTAATTGTGTGGATTTAAGAATAGTGTAAGTAGATAAGGCTATCTTCTGCTAACTTTACAATACAGGTAGCAGCTTGATATTGATTGTATTAATAGAGCTATATTACTTTAAAGCAAACTAATCCTATTGGCCATCACTACTATGTATTCGGGGGGGAGGGGGGAGGAAACAGGGCTCTACCCATGCACTAACAGAGCAGCACCCTCAAAAGTGATAGTTACAGAATCAGTCATTACAGCACAGAAAGCTATCAAAGCTCATCAAATCACATTGGCATTCTGTAGAGAGCGATTCAAATCAGTGCAAATCTCTTTCAATTCTCTATCGAATCTCCCCTTCACCTCTTTTGGTCCAAGAGCATCAGCTTCTACAAGCTAACCTTGCAGCTAAAATTACTCATCCCTGGAACCATTGTGACAAATTTCATCTGCACCTTCTCAAAGTGCCCTCATTATTTGTAGGGTGACTGGAATTGGTTGTAATTCTCTAGTTTTCATCTAACCAAAGCTTTATAAAGATTCTGTATGACCTCCCAGATTTTGCAATCCATTTGTGAAGTCCAAAATTCCAAATGCTTTGTTAAAACTCCTATTCAAAAAACTATACACAATAACCCCCATTTTACATTTTTAACAAGATGCATGCTTTATCTATATTAACAAAATATAAAAGGAAATCCACACAGAATCTGAAGATTAGGATAAAAGATAAGTTAGCTTCATTTCTGATTATACTGCAGTTGGTATAAAACTCCAGGGATGTATCAGTGTAGCAGTTACTAAAATCTTAAACGATCTTAAACGGCTTCAAAATTAGGCTATGCCCTTTTGTATCAATGCATTGGCAGCATCCTTCCCAACACAAACAGAAGGATAACTAAGCTTTTTAAAGTAGTGTCGAGTAGTGGCCATCTGGTCCATTGTATCTGTACTTGTTCTCCAAATGAGCATCATGACGTGGTGTCATTCTCATGTCTTTTTCCCATATCTTTATACTTGTTCTATTTAAATAGTCATCCGTTGCCCTCTTATATACCTCTGTTTAAAATGCCTAAATCATACTTCTGAAGTGTTTTTCAGACCTCAGCCACGCATGAGATATTTTTCTCACCTCATGTTTGCTTCTTTTGCAGATCACTTTAAATCTGTTCCCTCTTGTTCTTGATCCTTTGGAGCAGGAAGTTTCTCTCTATCCAGCCCCCTGATATTTTTGAAAACCTCTACCAGATCTCCTCCTGGCCTTTTCTCTAAGGAGAGAAACCCTAATCTTTCCAATCTATCTCCATCCCTGATGTCATTCTTGTAAATTACTTTTGCACACTTGTACAGTAAATCTCTTCACCTAGTTTTTAGGTGCAATCCTTTTATTTTATCTTAACGTAAATTGCATAATGTAATATACCAATATATAACTGAATACTTACAAAGAGAAGAATTCTCCCAAACAGCAATTAGGAAAGTTAACAATGATCTTTATCACAAGGAGAACTGAATACAGAGCAGGAAGGTTATGCTTCAATTATACAAGGCATTGGTGGAACCACATCTGGAGTACTGTGTACAATATTCAATTTGAAGACAGATGTAAATGTTTAGACACCACATTATAACCACATTTACAAAGGCATTTACATCCCTCTTCCTGGTCTGTATTCAATTCTCCTTGTGACAAAGATCATTCTGTTAACTTTCCTAAGGAGTTGGTTGTCTTATGAGGAAAGGTTTGACAGGCATAGTTTGTATCTGCTGGAGTTTGGAGAAGAATCAACATGATTGAAACAGAAGATCCTAAGGGGTCTTGACAGGTAGATATGGAGAGGATGTTTCTTCTTATGGGAGAACTTAGAACTAGGGGTCACTGTCTACAAATTAGGGATCGACCATTTAAAAGTTGAGATTTATTTCTCGGAAAGTAGAGTCTTCGGGACTCACTTCCTCAAAAGATGGTGGTAACAGAACCCTTGAATGTTTTAAGGCAGAGGTAGATATACTCTTGTTTAGGAAGAGGGTGAAATGTTATTGTGGGTAGGCAAGAATGTACATTTGAAGTTAGAATCAGTTCAGCCATGATCTTATTAAATGGTGAAGCATGCTTGAGGGACTGAATGGCCTAGTCCTACTCTTTGCTGGTATGGTATAACATAAAGATACTGCTCAAAATATTGCAGATGATAAGGTTCCTCAGCTTCACTTTGGTAATGCTATTGTTGCTTTATGCTCGTCAGAATGTATAAAAGCCTTAAACAAAAAATGAACAGCTCAGCAGGTTTGGCAGCATCTGTGGAGAGAAATCAGTTAATGTTTCAGGTTGAGTGACCCTTCCTCGAAACTTAAAAGCCTTAACCCTGACTGCAGTAAACTGCTAGAACTCCTGCAAAAGAGGGGGGGAAAAAAAACAAACATTGCCCCTGGATTGACCGAGGTTTTTCAATCATAAAATTGTAATTCTTTCAAATGAAGAGGTTACCATCAATATTACAACTGTAAAATCTCGATTATCAAATGCAGTTTAAATCTTAAGCATTTTCATTGTCTAAATTTCACTGGGAAATTTAACAGCATTGCTGTGATAAGGCTGTCCTTTCTTTGCTATATATTGCATTCTGCAGAAGGCTTGAATCTGTTGTATGATTTGGTTTCTGTTTCTTAGAAGTAAGATGATTGATCAGAAATTTTAACAAATGAATTATCTTGCGAATGAAAGATATAAACCACCTTTGGCTCACAAATGGCAATATATTCCAGCGTAAGTGAAATTGTGCACAAGTAGCCAAACTATGGAGAAAATAATTCTACTGTGCATTTTCTGAAAACTGGAAGATTTCAAAACTTATGCAAGATCTTCAAAAAAACATTTTACATATCTTTTACAGATGGTTAAGATACTCTTTTCCATTTTGATGAACTGACGCATCTTAATTTAACTCAGTGCTGTTCACCAGTGAAAATGGATGTCTCCTCTGGGATGTTTTGAATAAAATTACTTTGAGAAGTTTCTTCAAATCACTTTTTATTCTTTAAAAAACACTTGTGCATCGAGGAAAAGGAACATAGAAAATTATAATTAAAGTTAACTTCAGTATATCGGTTCAGTGTAAGAAAATAAACCACTCTGCCTCCGTAAATACTTGAGTATAACTTTTACCTTAGCTGACTATAACCTTCTTTAAAAAAAAATCACAACAGGAATGGCTGATAGTGTCCTGAAAAATAAAGCCTGAGCTCCAGAATTACTGAATTATCAGCTGACTGAATGGTGAGAATTTGATTTACTAATCATTTTAAACCATCAGTTTTACTGCCAAATTGTAGATGTTTCCAAGTATTCACTTGGATATTGTTTAACTTTTGCTCAAAACAGATGTCCAGATTATCCTTCCCTTTTTACCACTCTACCTGAAGATACTGGCAAATTCCAGCTCCTCCATCCCCAGTTCACCCTTTAGGCAATTTAACTGTGAAGGGCCTACACCCCACATTTCCAGCAAAAATTGGTGGTTAGTGACCTCAAATAGAAATCCCAATCAACTTTGCTAACTCAATATCACTGACTTTATTATGATACCCAGTCAGGATCGGGTAATTCAACCAAGACCAAAGACTGAATCTGGCATTCAGCTATTCATTATTTTGTATCTTTTCAAGAAGCCCTCTATCTTTCCCACAAAATAGGGAATTGCTTCTTAGATTAAACTGATCAGAGATAATCAACCAGGATTAAGGAAAGGTCTAGCCACTGACCCTCTATATGCTGTTTATTATTACATTTCTTATTAAACTTCCACCGTTTGACAAAATGGAGAATTAATATTGTGCATTTTAAAAGCTAATTTGCTTTCCTTTTTATGTATTATGATTTGGATCAGGAGGGTAAGCAGTTTCGGGCTTCTAAAAGTGCCCATCTCCCAATAGATAATTGGGGAAAAAACACAGTAGCCCAGCTTGATTCTCTTCAATTTTCCTCTTCCTATGTAGCCAAGTGTCAGACAGGCACATAAAAACATCCTGTGACTTGTGGGCCACTTTTTCTCGTACATTTTTGTATAATTTTCATAAAGATAGTTGTAAAAAAATAAGGTTTACAAAATTAATTTTAAGCACATTAGACATGGGTGGTTAACAATCTTCAGCTTTCACTTTCTACTTGAGGATAAAACCCAACTCTTGTCATTGAGGACTAAATAAGACTGACCAATCTGTTTTTCACTCTCCACCCACTACCAACTAGTTCCTACACACCCAAAATAAACTTAGCTGGAGTTCATTTTTTTGGAAGATTTTTCTCGATAGGAACTGACAAAAAACGGGTGGAGAAAACGACCGTGCAGCATGCAGAATGGAAACATCAGTTTCATTAACACCCAACTCTGATGTTCAGGTGTAGAAGACTGTAACCAACAGCAAGTTGGGATGGTGTAACTAGTGATTTCCTTCCAGTGGATACCAATTTTAAACTACTCCCAAACCATAACAGTGAGCTTTGGTGTACTTGTTTCAAATGGAGTTTTAAAATATAAATATGTACAAAATTCTTCCATGACAGCTGACAGAAGTGGGTTGTAACTTTCCCTTAAAGGCTGGATGATCTTCTGTTTAATTCTTAGATTGTGCAGAGTTATGAGATTTCAATCAGAATAAGCCGAATAAGCCTAATCAGCCAGGGCCTCTTTCTCAATTGCTGTGGAGTACCCTCTGCTACAAAGTGAGTTTAAAGAATAGGCTAAGGATGGGATTCTACAGGCCTTCATGCGTGGAAGTTTGTTGATGCACACTTTCTCTAATCCAATATAAATAAGGTACCTTGCATGAGATATCCAACACAGCCAGACTCTTTCGACCATATTCCAGTAAGATATGTTAAAAAGGAAAAGTGAAGATTGAAGGGCCAATGGAAACTCCAAAAACTTGAAATTCAAGTAATAATCCTGGACTGTTAAAATGCATCTTAATGCATTTCTAGTGGTTTCTTCCCACTGATTACATTTGTATTATATTTTGATAGATGTTTTTACTGTCCATTTGTAGTGCATGGTATTGTGAAATTTACTGATATTAACAGGTTTGTCAGCTGACTTGTTTGTTCTAGATTGTTTATTTAATTCTAGTGCAAACACTTAATATAAAATTACACCCTAATATGCTGTAATAATTTCAACTATACCTTGACAGATCACTCTACTTGTCTCTACAACCCCGTTCATTTTAAAATCTATTTAGAGCTGTGCAGTAAGTTAGAACAATACACTTGCACCTCTTGAACCTGGGTTCATAATAATACACCTGTAAGTTTTGGCCAGTTCCAACTTAGTGCCAAATGGACATGACTGAAAATTTGACAGTTTCACAGTGTGGTTGGTTTAAGAAATGCAACCTGTAGAACTGGGATATACTACAGGAAGCTTTCATAGTGCATCTTATTTATATTTGCCCAATATGCTGACATGAGGTGGTTGCAGAATTATCTGGAAAATTCTCAATTTACTAGCACTGAGATCTCCAGAGTACAAAAATCACTTTTTTAAAAATGTAGTGGGTATGTAAAAGGAAACGAGGTGGCTTCAAATCCAAATGAAGGCTAAGCAAAACATTTAAAACAATCTATAACAAATTACTAATTCAGTTTGGAGGAAGATCAAAAAAATGCTCAATCTTTAATGCCCTTTAAAAAGATACAAAACTAAGCTTTTTGTTAATCTACATCCATGTCCAAAATAATGAATGAGAATTACAGCCGGTGTTCACTGGTGTGCAATTCTTTTGCTAGACAGCTGAAGAATATTCAAAGAACAGCAACTTTCAAAATACCCCAGCTCTTCTTTATTCATTTAACTGTCGCTAAATCTGATGATCTATATTCTACTTGTTCCCTTACTGCCATTTTCACCCCCTTTTTGTGGGTTGAGCAGGAGTGGCTTACAATATCAGTACAAATGAAGTGCAGCCATCACAATGCTTTAAGGTTCTTATCGTGACATTTTAAAAAAATAATTTACAAGCAATTCTTTTACTACCTCAAAACCAGGACTTCGATTTGTCTTCCTTCCCATGAATTTATAACAACTTTCAAAGTCCAGACTTTGGAAAGTGACCATGATAACATTTCTTTAGACTGTCTGAATACACAAAACTTTATGCACTTGTCAAAATGAAACTCAAGAGAACAATAAAGAATGAGACATCACAAATAACATTATCAGGTTCAGAACTATTGATATGTTTTGGTGCCAACTTAGGTATATGCATGAAAAGAACTCTGGCAAGTCTAACAGACTGGCAGATTCAAATAATTAAGTCCAGGCACTAAATTGAGAAGTTCAGCTTTTGGACCATTGGGACTTTTCATCCCTTGAATGATGTCCTTTGAAGTAGTTGCTCATCGACCATTTTCTTTCATCCACATGTCTCTTAAAAACTAACAGGAGTTTGGCAGTGGTGAACATTTCCATTTTACATTAAAAAGTTATCAATATATTGCATAAATAAGTAAAAAATAAAACTTGAACATGAAACCTGTTTTCTTCATGTGGAATAGTTTTGATCTCTTCTATAATTTTTCTGGTCAATCTTTCCCTGTCCATTTGTAGTTCATTAGCTACTCATTGTAAAATATATATTGACCCTTTCCAACCTCCAAGACATTGTCGGTGGAAGATACTTGAATGTTCATGTATGGCTGCTTCTAGTCCAGAGGCTGGTAGGTTGAGGTGACCGAACTATCACATGTTTAAGCGAAGTACATTGTGCGTAAGGTGTCTTGGTGAACCTGGACAGCTTTAGCAAGTGCCTGGGGATCCCGTCCATTACTCTGTCCGGAGATATGGCTGCCTTCTCCACTGTAAACAAAATAAGAACATAGTAAAATACAATTAAAATCTATATGCTCACTCTAACAACAGGTTGCTGATTTGGATCTCGGCAAGTAATTGTTTACAAGCAGGATTAATAACAGTTGCAGCAAATTGAAAGGAATACTATTTGGGGCCATGGCATTTGACTCCGTTTAAAAAAAGCTAGTAATATGCTGTAGCAGGAAGATGGTGTTTTGAAATAAACAACATTTGTTTACCTATCTCAAATACTCCTGGAAAAATCTTCCCCAGCATATTCTGCAGTGCATCCTTGAATTTCCAATTGCCTTTGGGCTCAATTTGCCACAATTTTATAGTTGTTGATTGCTCAACTATCCCTTCATTACTTTTGATGCCCTCGTTCCTAGAGAAGGATCATTTGTTGGTTATCCTGGAAACTGATCCCCTCTCTTTAATCAGTCTGAAGGATATAAACTTGATGAATGGACATGCAACAAGCTGAGCCAACTGACACCAGATCTGATTAGATCGTGACCAGACATAATTATTATATATTAAAATCACTGATAGCTCTCAAGGGCAGGGATATCAGCCCAAACTGGAGTTTAGTGGCAAGCAACATTTAGAACATCACAAGTGGCAGGCACTTGTGCCACTTATGTGGCACAGAAAGGGAGAATTTAGCCACTTACCCATGACGTTTAAAGGCACTGCCATCACTGAAATAGCCCATATCCTGATGGCTACCACTGACAGAAACCTAACTGGACCAACCATATAAATTCTGTGGCTACAAAAGAAGTGTGTCTACACCACAGGTTGCAGCAGTTCCACCACCAGCTTCTCCAGAACAATTACAGATAGACAATAAATACTGTATTAGCAAACTGCCCACTTTCCACTGGGGGGGGGGGAGGGAGAAGAAAGGTTTTTAAAAATAAGCCTTTAAAAATAGTTTAGATGAACGTTCCTCTATCGGTATCCTGGAACTATGACAACACGTGATTTTCATGCATTCTTTTATCACTTAAAAAATTTAAGGAAGAATTATCTCCAAGACAACGTCTAGTACCATTCTGGAAGTTGCTTTACAATCCATAGCAACAGGAATACTCTGTACTGATGAAATCCTACAAAAAATAATATTATGTTCCCTTATTGGATTTTATATAGAACCCTCTCCACAACAAGATGACAATTCACAGTAAAGGCCATTTACACCATTGTTGACAGCCACTTTCCCTTCTGGGCCCCATACCAGTTGATATTGTGAAAGCAAAACACCTTAAAGCCCTGTACCAAGTGTCTTAAAATTGTCTTCAGACCCAAGTGCCTTCACAAATTATAATCTACCCACCAAACTTCCTAATCTTGTAAAGTCCTTAAATATGTTATCACTCTCAATGCAACAGGTGTGACTTACTCCAATTAAGTTTACCGTGAATCCCAGACACTGAATCAGTCTTAACAAAAGACATGAATAATGTCCTTCTTGATTGTCTCACAGTAATTTGGTTTATCTGAACAGGTGGGAGACTTTCTCTTGTTCATGTACTGAATGCACTTAGGATTTTGATTTTCACAAATGTGAATGCCTCAGGACTTCATAATAAATCTATCTAGTAATTTGAAAGAGAAAACAATTGAATTGGTAATGTAAGAGGAAAAAGGACCTCAATGTATCAACAGACAATGAAAGCATATTCACATAAAAGTTCAACTGATTGGTAAATTCAGTTGACATTTTTACTGGAAACTTTAGAAGACTATATAGATGTTATAAGAATGCAGCTGTGTTTGTGTGGTGCAGGTTGGTCATCCTTTACTGAATGAAGGAGAGTACAAATTCCCAAGACAGACTGACAAACAATTTCTGTGGAAATTGTTGCACCCTATGACAACCAGAATATGAACAAATTCTCTCTTGCGACATTTTGTTCAAATTTAAAATAATTTGCCTTAATTACAACAAATACGATTATCTCTTATTTTCTTGTCTGCCATTAATACAAAAAGTCACAGGTGCTCTGTGGTACAATGATCAATGCTGTAGCTCATGTGCTTGGCTGAAAACTGGCAATCAATATTTGCACTACACATGCTAGGCCAAAACCATCTTCTACTACAGAGAATCCAATCATCTTCCCTTGACATTCATGGATTCAGCAACAGTAATGCCCCCATTATCAACATCCTGAAGGTTACCGTTAACCAGAGACTGAACTGAGACTAGAAGCTCTCCAGCGCATAACTCACCTCACCAAAGCCTACACAGCAAAAGTCAAACTCCACTTGCCTGGAGCTCGAGAAACACCTAAAGTTCAACACATTGCGAAAAAACCAGCCAACTTGATTGGCACCCCATCTACCATCTTCAGGCATTCATTTTCTCCATCACTGACGCACAGTGGCAGCAGTGTATACCACCCACAAGATGCATGGCAACAACGCAGAGGTTCTTTGATGACACCATCCAATCCCATGACCACTTCTACACTGAAGGATAAGTGCAGCAGATGGATGGGACCAGCACCAGGTGAAAGTTCCCCTCTATGCCATCCACCATCCTGATGTGGAACTAGAATTGCCATTCCATCATCATTGCTGGGTTAAAATCCTGAAAGTCCCTACCTAACAGCTCTGGGTGTATATAGCTCCCATGGAATGTAGCAGTTTAAGAAGGCAACTCACCACCAACTTCTCAAAAGCAATCAGGGATGGGCAAAAATGCTGGCCTAGTCAGTGACGCCCACATCCCATGAATAAATAAAAAACTGATATGCACTCAACATCACAAGTTGCTTATCTAAGTAATTTGCAGGCTCTGCACCTCCTCAAAAAAAGATAATAGTTAATTAGTTTGCTTATAACATACACACAGAAAGTCTTTCTTCCCCCCACTTCCTTACAACACTATCCCACGCAGAAGGCCAAACTAACTTATAAACCAGCAAATTATCTTTATGTAATTATTCAGACAATTTTCCTTACCTGTCATGCTCCTTGTCCACCAAGTGATATCTTGCCCTGAATGCCACCAATCTAGCATAATAGGCTGGTGCCGGAATAGAGACAGAACGTGTGCACCGCACATAAGTATGACATAACTGATAAGTCAAGATCTGAAGCTCATCTGCAGTGAATCGATTGTCATCCCATAAGACATAATAATGTGAAGGTCTGCTGGTGCCCTGCAGTCAAAAGAGATGAAATTTAGATAATAATACTGTAAATGAAAACTAAACTCTACCTCTTCTCCATTACAGATATTTATGCAATTCAGTAAAGCTCAATAAGCTTAATTCCACAACTCAGCTACCTCTGTCTCGTACTTAAACTGACCAAAATCTTTTCATACCCCACGTCCTAAGAAAACACAAACTCAAACTCTTTCCCAAAGTTTGGAAAGGTTTTTAATATCCTCACTTTTCTCTTTCATCCTACATTATAAATACAATTGGCAAAACTCTAATTGCAACACCAGCACAGGATACTGGACTGGTTGAAGCAAGATACCTCCTGACAGGACAAAGAACATGTCAGCATGGATAGAGATTCAAATAACTTGTCTAGATCTATCCCATCAGTTTGATTGGGTTAATACAGACTAGGAAAGATCCAGACAATACTGAATTTAGATAGTCGGCGCTCACCTCATTGCTGGAGAGATTACTACAATACTACTAATAATAGAAATAGTATCTTAATATTTGTTTATGAGGCTAAACGCTGAAAACCTATGTCACTGAAGAAATAATTACATTACCAAGACTACATGTACCATACCTGTTAACAGACTTTGTTCAATCAGTGAACTGAGATATTAAATTTAGACTGCAATCTCCAAAATCATTGACTATAACACCAAAAATCAGGCAGAGAGAAAGAAAACTTCTTCAAAATGCAATTACTTTTCAATAACATTTCACATTCCTGTTCCCTTCACAATACACTGAAGTTAAATCTGTTGTGCAATTTACGACTCTTTCTCTACCATTTTCTTTATTACAGCATATTGAACCAAACCGAGTGTCATAAACTGAGGTAAGTCTAACTGTTTTAGAGTAGATTTGTAGCTCGGGTTGAGGATGTTTTGGTTGGTTGGCTCACCGAGCTGTTTGTGTTCTGCAGATGTTTCATTATCCTGCTGAGTAACATCATCAGTGCAGCCTCCGATGAAGTGCTGTTGTTTTCCCGCCCAGTTTTAAACTCTAGTGTCCGTTGAGCTGGATTGAGACAAGCAGGGGAATTCCTAGAGGCCTGGTTCTCCACTAAGAAAACCATCAATAAACACATAGAGGTAGACCCCATATACACTCCATTGCGACGGGAAACCGAAGTGAGGTAATCCAGCTCAACGGACACCAGAGTTTAAATAACAGGCGGGAAAAAACAACAGAGCTTCATTGGAGGCTGCACTGATGATGTTACCCAGCAGGTAATGAAACATCTGCGGGTCAACGAACCAGCTCAGCGAGCCAAACAACATGTCTAACTGTCAAACAGCTGCAACAGACTTTTCACATTGCATTCAATCTGGGGATCCTTCAAAGAATAAGTCCTTTGCGGCACGGTGGCTCCGTGGTTAGCTCAGCTGCCTCACAGCGCCAGGGACCCGGGTTCGATTCCAGCTACGGGTGACTGTCCGTATGGAGTCTGCACATACTCCCTATGTCTGCATGGGTTTCTCCGGGTGTTCCGGTTTCCTCCCACAGTCCAAAGATGTGAAGCGTAGGTGGATTGGCTATGCTTAAGTTGCCCATAGAGATGGGAAATGCAAGGGTAGGGGAATGAGTCTGGGTAGGATGCTGTTCAGAGGGGTGGTGTGGACTTGTTGGGCCGAATGGCCTGTTTCCACACTGTAGGGATTCTATGACTCTATAAAATGGCATAAAGAGAGACAGAGAAATTCATTGATCTTTATTTACATTGATTATTGTGGGTAGGCTGAAAAAGGAAAGAGAGAACATGATAAAAGAGATTTATTGCACTGCAGCTGAAATCAAAAACAGATAAAGGAGTCACATAGTGCACAAAATAAACTGCAAAATGGTGTAAAAGTCTCCTCTTAAAAATTGGGTTTCTGTAAGCCCAAATCTGATGGGCTAAATGTTCTTGCATCACTGAAGAGGCTTTTGTACAACTGAAAGACAGATACAGAACAAGCTTTATGTATGATCGGAATTCCTCTCAGCTCACTCCCTGTTGTAGTTTTTCTCCTGACTATTTTTCTCTTGTGGCTACCAACACTATTGTACCCTTCCACTTTTATTTGTTTGTCCTTCTATTGCAGATGAACTGTCATGATCATCCTGCCCCTTCAACTCTCGCTTTTTTGACACCAAGTTTTGTTGTACAACCTCTGGCTCCAACTCCATTTTTAAATAGTCAACAAATATAAATCAAGGTAACTAGGTGTGGAATGGAGACTTGTCACAAAAATCTGAGGCCTGATTGTCCAGGGTGAATCAAAAAACATGCATTTAGATTCAGCAAACAATTTAGGCAATACTACCCATATCCTAGAAATTTCCATCCTTGTTTGCTAACTTCTTTTCTTTCATCCATCTAAAAAGCAAAGGCATCTATTTCATGCTGAGGCTATTTATTAGTTTCTCTTTGTAATTGAAGTTTGTCAATTGACTTGAATCTGCCGATCTAAAAAGCTCCCCATCAACAATAATTAACCTGTAACTGACCTTAAAATCCATTTGTACCAGTTTCCCAGAGGACTTGCACAGGGAACTGCCTTAATGGAAAGAATAAGCTATCAGCTAAACAGCTCCAGTACTATAACACAGTACTACCTGACCTGATGTATAGCAACCAGCCTTGACTCCCCATTTCTGTAATGGTCACAAGTACAAGTTATCAAACAGACCTGAATCCCAGCATGACTGCAAAGGTAGAAATCAAATTCAAATGGGTGGGTGATATTCGTGTCAACTGTTGTCCCTGCTGGTATGTTCCCACTTTTTCCAATCTGGCAAAGGAAAAAAACATTTTTTAATGCTTTTTGAAGAAATAACAAATGAACATTTTGTCATGTGTAAAGATTTCATATTGACCCATTGTGTAGTAGTTCTAAGTACATCATAAGGTTTTGCACGCATTGAAACAAGATTATGTGTTTAGGTGATATTACTTCTTGTGTTTAAGCTTGCTCAATGTATTAAACTGGTGTAGCAGCCTTTCAGTGTCTTATGAAAATAGCTTTGTTTCACCTGTAAGCTCAGACAAGAGCACATCATACTACAGTAACACTTGCATCTGGAGACTAGCAAACACACAGATCCAACAGGTGGATCGTAGATATTAATATTCAGTTTTAAATATAATATCCTCAGTATTAACATGGGTCCAGTTTATTTATTTCTCACCTCAGTTCCAGCACAATTTTAATAGCAGGATTTGCATTTCAAGTTAGTAGATGAAATCAAATCAGTAAGATTATTTCTTTTCAAGCACACTCAGAATGATTAATACAGAGCCAGAAATAACCATCAAATTATCATATACTTTGCAGTCTTAATTTTATCCTGAAGTTTACCCTGATTTGGTCATTTAGCAGAATTTAATTTAGTCGTCACCACAATGCAAATTTCTCTTCAAATAAAATCTGTACATTTCCCAGAAGTTACTTCCACCAGTATCGGAATTCCCCACTAAATCAGAGTACATTCTTTTAATTTGGTTGGTCAAGGATCAAGTTTTTTTAAAATTTCCCTTCAGTAAAGCAGCTCTATATAGGCAAACAAAGAGGACTGTAGCTATCATTAATTTAGTTGATCTTATCCAGGGTAGCGGTAAGAGCAAAGAATGTCATTGTTACTTAGCACAGATAAGGGGAAAACTTCAGCTGAACTAATAATTCTGAAAACTATCCAGAAACTTATGTACATGGATAAGATCATTCTTGCCCTTAGCCTTCACAACCAAGTAACTTGCTGGCACTCACTGTCCGAGCTTATATGTGAAACTTTGAGGCACTGGAAGTCAGCTACATTGATTTGATGTATTGAGCAACAACCAATACCTTCAAAGAGAGGAGGGTTCATAAAACGGAAGAGAGGAAAAAATGCGAAACACCAACTATAGATGTATCAATAGCTACACTGAAATCATTTCCTACCCTCTCGCTCTTATCAGCACAGAAGAGCCGTGTGTGATGCCGTTTTTGGACAACTATATAGGTAATTCCAGGTTGATAATCTTTTTCCAGTTTGATACAAGCATCACGAATAGCCAAGAGCTCGTAGTGTAGTATCTGAAACAGGTTTCACATTGTTTATAATTTAAAATAGTGTTTAACACATTTTTGTGAGAATAGAGAAGAAAATTGATACAATAGAAACATTCTTTGCAATGTGGTTAAGAAAAGTGCAGGGAGTAGCATTATGCAGTTGTATTAGGTACAGTCTGCAATGTCCAAATGACCACATATGATCTAGTTTACTGGCAATTTTCAGATCACATCTATCCCAACCCTGCACTCCACTCAAAAGAGAATGTGCAAAGCAGGATTCCAAGGGAGAACAATTGATAGAAAAACTAAACCAATTTTCACTTTTGCTCAATTTAAATTTCAACCCAGTAACCCTGTACATCTAAACTTTAACAGACTAGCATTACTTTAGCCATTTCAGGCGTTCATTTTAGTAAAGGACTGCAACTTCAAGATACCTGTGGCAACTGTCCTTCAGGAACGCCATCCCTATAGAAGATAATCCTTGTTGGCTTGAAGCGGGTAGATTTGTAAAATTGGATCAGTAGTTCTCTAACCATGTAGGAAAGGTCTTCAATTATTTCCTGACGAGGTCGCTGCACACGAACTGTGGCACAGTAACGGCTTGGATGAGCATCCATGCTGCCAACTACCTGGAATGAGAAAAACAGAACTTTCAGGCAAACTAATGATCTTGCATAAACAACTGTAATGTCAAAATTCTGAATATGCCTAAGTAATCTGAATCCAGTTTTTACTGGATAACAAGTTGCCATACAATTCCTCAATCTATAACACAGATTTAATAGTTGTACTTAATTCTGTTTGCAAGATTGTGAAGAAAATGCACAGTCAGTACACCCTTTACCCTTCCCTAAAACCCCGTACTATGTTGTACATAAGAAGAAGGTTCCAAGTTCACTTGAAATTAAAATTAGTTTCAAATGCCGTTAGTGACTCTGATCTTAAAAAGTGGCAAAATCCACTTGTGTTTTGTTTTATTCTCAACCTTCTAACTCCAGCTGCAAGATTTGAGAATGCTTTCTTGTGCAAGTCCAGTTTGGTTGTGACTTTCCTTCTTGTCTACGCCTTCCAATAATAGCTGGACAACTGGTATGAAGTCATCCACGAACCAGATATCCATAAAATGATCTGAGCCTGGTTGATGGTTTATGATTTACCTGCTTCGGCTGCAATTTTCAACCATTCATGCTTTTTAACACTTCACTGCTTATTCCAATCTTTGCCAGTAACAATACCCAAATGTTACATAGGATTTAGGAAGATGAACAGCCAAAGGACATGCAACTGAGTTGCCCTTGTAAATTAAAGGCAAGGTCAGTGCAGGGCAACATCAGATATAGTCCTGGCGGAGGAAGACAACATCCTTATGAATAGCCCTGAGGTAGTTCAGGGCAACTGCAATTAATATGGAAACATATCTCAAGGTACTTTAGAAGTTAAATAAAGGAATATACCAAACAATGGTGAAAGTTAGGCATGATGACCAAAAGATTTTTTTTATATAGCTTTTAATGATTGAGTGTGTGTGTTGGAGAAGCAATAGGTAGGAAAAAATACATAGAAGGCTAAAGTTGAAGGATTGAGGAGTGCAGAAGACAAAGCTGGAGGAATACAAACCGGTTGGAGACAAGACCAAGCACAAATCTGAGGCAACACACGAGGGAAGCAAGTGTAAATCAGAAAGGACAGGAATCACAGCTAAATGAAACTCAGTGCAGGCAGAATATTAATAGGTTAAATTTAATAGATTGCCAAGCCTGGGAGACAGGAAAGCAGTATGCTGGGGGGAAAAAATGCAACCAGTCTTTTGTTGACGGTAGTGGATTGTATTGAGACATTTCAGGCCTTCAGAGGCCCTTAAGTGGCCAATTATTGCCCACTTAAGACTCTCAACTCACCTCCACTGCCGTAAAATGCTGGGCAAAGGTCAGTGGGCAACAGTGAATTGATAGTTTCTTTTAAAAATAAGGCAAAGAAAGCGGAGGGCACATCATTCAGGACTGTGTCTTGTGTACATTGGGGGCACCCCCAAAAGATGGTACTCACTTTGTTCCTGTTTGCCTGACCACCTCCTGTAGGATGCCTGATCCTAACCTGCTCTGAAAACTTTGGATCTGGCTAACATGAACAGTCTCTGAGGGCCTCCCTGCAGTGCTACCATTCTTACTATGATTTACATGTGACTTAATACAGTCTGAATTAGTGACTCGAGGGGGCTATTATTAGAGGCAGGAATTTACAATACCAGCTGAAATAATGACTTTGCTGTTCCAGTATTCAGACAAAGGAAATTTCCTTTGTGCTATCTTTTCAATCTAGAAGAGTTGAGATCATGGTATTACCATTGTTCATTTTTGTGGTTTTTCAGGGGTCCTTCCAGAATTGGTAAGTAGAGCGTACTTTAGTTACATAACTTAACCAAGTTTTATAATATCACAAATGGTGTCAGAATGAAAGAAGGTAATTTATTTTAAATGGTACTTTGAGATAAACGCAATGTAGTGGATACCATTTCTTACATATTTATCATGAGAGATAAGGCAGAACTGAAGGTCTCTGCCAGTGAGAGTTACTTGTTTTCAAGTTTAGCTCAACACTAAGGCTGTGGCCAAAATTCCAAGGTTGTTTATATTCTCCCTGCTGGGAAGTCCTCACTGTGATGTGAAGGGTGACATATCAATATTGGAGCACTTAAGTGGCTGTAAAGCAGCTTCAAAAAGGAATTTGCTACCATCCAGCTATAAGAAATCACCAGAATACGAGACAGGTAAGAATGCACAAAGCTGATATTTATGCGTAGAGAAGCTTCAAATTTTCTGATATCGCAGTTGAAGATTGTTGGTCAAAGCAAAGCAGGCAATCTTTGGCAATAAGAAACTAAGCTGGAAAAAGGTATTGTAAAAGCCTAGTGGAAGGAACTGATCTTGAGAGGCCAAATGACCTACCCTTGCTCCTATTTCTTATGTTGATTAGAGTTACATCTCAAAAGCTTCTAACGTCTTCACTTCTTGAATAATTTGGTCAGGTAAAACACTGAAAAGAGGAGGGAAAGGCCATATGGCGTATCAATCCTGCTCTGCTTTCAACATGACCATGGCTGATACTCTACCACAATACCATACTCCCACTCAATCCCAATACCATTTGACACTTCTAGCTTTTAGAAATCTAGTTCTTTCTTAATTATATCCAGGGTCTTGGTCAAGAATTCAACATGTTCACTACTCGAGTGAAAAAAAGTTCGCCCCATCTCAGTCCAGACCTGAACAGTCGTATTGGACTTGAAACGTTAACTCTCTTGGGCTTGTGCAGAAAGCTTCATTTTCTTGCCTCTTGTACTCTATGCATTGGGAAATTAATATTTATGTAATAATAGGATTTATAGTCTATTTATTTTAACGTCTTGATAAGAAAATGCAAGCTGACAGCAAACAAAATCTATTTTTGTTAAAGAACTTCTATAAAATGGTTTTCTTTAAATCAAGTCACAGTTCCACTGATGGAAAGAGTGACATCACTTTATATTAGTCTGAGTCAGCCGGCAGTTGTTGTTACCAGGCAACAAGTTCTGTTAGCAAGTTAACTGGTGACTCACAAAGGTACTACTGTGAAAGCTAATGCGTACAGTGAGAAAGCATGGTACAATGTGTCGGACCTGAACATATCAGATATTCTGAAGCACAATGTGTTCATAAAGATAAGCTATTTCTGGTTCCTTCTCAATACATTTCTCAGGGAAAAGCTTAAATTATCACATGTTCTAAACACACAACACTCCCATCTCTTCATTATTTCAGATTGAATTATGACACAAATTTGACAATTAAAAGGACAAATTATATCATGCATTAGGGTATCTATGATACTGAGAGGTTTAGATGAATGTGCCCATTTGGCACACAATTTTTCACATTCAGGATTTGCAGCTGTGCTGAGGGATAGCACTTCACTCGTGCTGCTGTCGGGATTCAGTTCATTATGGACAGGGATTGGATTATCTCATTAACTCAGCACCTTACAGGCCACATTATGTCTACAGATTAAATTGGAACAAGGTGGGTCTAAATCTGTGCAGACTGGAAGTTGAATTAAATGCTTATCTAAATATAGTTTCTCTCAAATGCAATCACATGTCTGTTGATCAGAAAAGTTTGCTGTAAACCTGGCACAGCAATCCAAAATTCTGTTCCACTGAATCACATTAACGATCCAAGGGTGATAAGTTCTGAATGTCATCCAAACCGCTGGTAGACAATACTGTAATGTAGAGGCTTCTACCCACAGGAAACTAGACAGCAGGCTGTTCTCGACAACTGTACCGCCTGCTGTTGAAATTAGGAATTATAACAGCTATGACCTGGAAACAGGAGAGCTATCTTCTTGTGCTCATAGATAGAGATGGGAACAAGAGAGTTCCAAGTTTAATTTCCAGCAAAAATGGAACACCACTGTCAACTGTGCTTGTTGGGTTCATTTTTGTTTTGCAGAGAAAATCTGAATCCCTACAGCTGTCAATTTCAATGAGTGCAGAAACAAAGACAAGAATTCTTCTACACAGTTGTGTATTTTTGTCTGATTTTTACAAAAAAATAAATTATTCCTCTAAACTCAAAAACAAGACTACAATCATTGGCTAGCCTCCAAGATTTCTCTAAAAGAGAATTAATTTACCAAATCATTAATGCAGTACAAAGACACATACACTGTTTTACTTATAAGACAATGTTTAGTGTCAGGAGAGTTTGACAATGCACAAAAAACTTGATATCCATTCATGTTGCCATTCTATGCTGTGTAGAGTTCATAAACTAATCTTTTGACTTGGAATGGCATCCCATAAATTAATCAATCCATAAGTATTTCCACTGTATGGCATGAATTGTAAGGCAGCCAGCTAAACTGCAAGTTTGCTCCGCACATATGATATGTGTTTACTTGTTGCAATATCTTGCACATCAAGCAGTTCATCTGATTCATAAGCAAAGCCTTTATTTAATTCTTGCATCTGGGGCTTGGATTCTTTGAGTTTCGTTCAAAGCAACCAGCAGGAGAATTTCTCTTTCCACAACAATGTTAATAAATGTTCAAGGTTATTATTTCTTGACTTCAGAAAATGTCATTTGTAAACTGTCCAAAATCAGATTTCCTACTGGCTCTCATGCTATTTTACGTCAATTTTCTGACTTCAACATGAAACAAAGTGTCAAGTTGAAAGCACCCAATTGTTAGTCACAATTTAAGATGATTCTGATCTTGAACTTTACTTGATGCATCAGTGAGTTCATCTAGCAAGTAGGTCTGCTTTAATTCACCTAACACAGGTACTAGTACCTATGCAAGGATAAAATCAACATAAAATAGTTGGATGTTGAGCTCCGCAGCCAAAACTAAAATTTGATCATGCCTTCTTTTAGCTCTACAGACTGGTCGGGCATACTTGGACTAATGTGGCTAGTTCAGTCTCAGAGTAACAAGAGGTTATCATGTGAGACAGCACCAGAGTGGGGTTGCTTTAAACAGCAAGAGAAAGCAGTGGAAAAGTTCACAATCCGTTCAAGAATGAGGAGGCTTAAGACAGCGCGAGAAATCTTGACATTTGGGAAATTAAAAAAAGTGTAACATCACTGGGTAACCAAGGAGACCAGAAGTTGAACAAAAGGGGTTAGCTTAGAAAAAATTTGAGTGATGATGCAGGGAAAACATAACGTCATCAAGTGGGATGGGGAGCTTAGTGGCGACCTCGGTAATAAGACCAGGCGAGTATTACTACAGCCCAGTACTTAAAAGTAAAAATTGGTCCTATTTAGATTGAGATTGTTTCAAGTATACAGAATAGGGTAAAGCATATATTGAACATTCCTTAAATCAAAGGAGGAAATGGAAAGGGAGTATTTTAAGCTCAAGTCATGACAAGGAAGTTTGGTCAGGTGGAATGCTCCTCCTGTGCGACATGGAAAGTCAGGGACACTGAGTCCAGGGTGACCATGCATACAGGAAGTACCTTCAGCAGCTACTATTGGAAATCTGTGTTTTGTATCTGGAGCAGGAGCTGGTGTCAGTGTGGAATTTCTGCAATGCAGAGATCTCCGTGATTAGCATGTACAGCAAGGTGGTCACACCTCAGGTAGAGTGCACAAGCAGAAAGGGAATAGGTGATTGCCAAAATAAAACCACGAGCATCTAATGCAGAAATCCCCTGGAGTTATCTCTCTAAAAGATTTTTCATTTCAGATACTGCTGGGGTAGACAGTTTCTCAGGAGAAAGCAGCAAGAACCAGGCCTAGGCACCAGGATTGGCTTAGCTGTGCAGGACGGGGGCGGGGGGAATAAGTGGGAGAGCAAAAATGATGAATGATTCTGTCATAAGGGTGGGAATCTGGAACTCACTGCAAGTGGTAGAGGCAGAAACCTTCATAACATTGAAGTAATATTTAGATGTACATTTGCGATAACAAAACATTGGAACAAAAGTTGGAAAATGGAATTAGAGTGAGTTAGGTGGTTGTTTATGACTAGCACAGACTCGATGGGCTGAAGGACCTTTTTCTATGCTGTGAAGCTGAAGCTAAAGCTGTGGAGACAAAAGTCACTGAAAATATTTAAGAAACAAATATATTTTCAGAAGCTAAAGTTGCCAAGGGGTTTAGGGAAAATATACAAGTATGGTTTTGAGATTGAGAATCCGACATGATAACAATAAATGGCAGAGCGAGATTGATGGGTTGAATGGCCTAATCCTGCTCACGTTTTCGATGTTTAAGACCTGGAGATCATGCAGCGTACAGAAAAGTGTGTAAAGCTGACCCTTAGCATCACCAATTATTATTGCAGAGTTATGACAGGAATGGATGTGAAAAAAGTCCACCTAACACATTAAG